GACTTAAAATATTTTTGCCCTTCCTTGCCTTTAAAGAAGTGCCCCTTTTCCGTGCTGTTGTTGCTACATGCCTTACTTCTTGCCTATCTCACACTGCAATTTTTTTCTAAGCTCTATACTAAACATTAAATCTGTTACAAAAAAAGAACTAAACAAAATGAACACAAAACGATCAGCTTTAAAAAAGGACTCGTAACTGGAAAAACCAAATGAAAAAAGAATGTTAACAACAAATACTTTTTCACACCCAACCCAGTTCTGCGGAATCAGAATCAACGTTGAGTTTAAGCAAGCGAATGAGCCAATTGGAGTAAAGTGCCATGCAGATTAAAATTTTTCCCACTTGTGACGAATGCAGCTATCGATTTTTTTTGCATGCTAGCATGCTAGTTAACATTCGTGTCAGTCAGCTGTTGGCTCTCACGCTGGCCAATAGAATCTTCCTGCCTATTCGTGGCAGCCAGCTATAGACTCTCACTCTGGCCAGTAGAAAATGGCCGCAAACTACATGAAAACTGCCGTAGAAGCATGAAAAAATCGATTATTTCCACTATTGATGGGAGTTGGGAAATGCAAAGTCGGGTTTGGCCTTCCCGCTAACTTGGATCATGTACATGTAAATTTTGGTGCAAATCCGTCGAAAATTGCGGCCGTGCATTCGTTACACACGCACACACACACACACACACATCCTGCTTTTTATATCTATCTATCTATCTATATATATATATATATGTGTGTGTGTGTGTGTGTGTGTGTGTGTGTTTCAAACAGTACAGAAACGTATTATGGCATAAAAAGCAAGAAATTTTATATTATAGGCCATGATAGATTTAAAATAAAAAAACACACTTGGTTTCGTCCCCTCTCATCAGAACTGTTAACGGGGACTTAGAATTATGAAGAGAGACAAAAGGAAGTCTGTCACGGATGACGTGAATGAATGGACAGGGAAAGATATATATATATATATATATATATATATATATATATATATATATATATATATATATATATATTTGAAGTGGATGAACAGATCCAACTGAAGATAAAGAAGACAAACAAACAAGACCGATATATATATATATAAACAAATATATGTATTAAACAAAACAATTACAATAGACAGTTAACATTGTGTTTGTGTGTGAACATTTGTGTTCGTATTTTGGTGAATGTTCGTATTTTGGTGAATGTTCGTATGTGAGAGCTCACATACGAGCGGTGTTCGCCGAAATGAAGAAAGAAGAGAAAGAATTACCTTACCTCCACGCGAGGTGGGATTCGGCACGAGGCCTGAGGAAAAAAAGAGATCGAGGCAAGAAGTCGCCCAGTATTTATAGTATGGAGAGAGAGACACCTAGTGACAATTTGAGAATTAAGGAGGAGGTAACTCCGGTAAAATAACTTTCAATGCATTTCTATACTAAAATAATTTTCATTGAATACATCCCGGGATTTACCCGCCTCTTAACAGTGGCAAGATGCGACACATGTTCGTCTTTAACGTGTCGTTGCCATTGGCCAATCCAATTCTCACGCTAGCCGGCACTCCCTCTTTTAGAGAAATGAAGACGGTGCTGCCACAGTGTTGTATTCCTCGAGACCAAAAATCCATCAAAGTTTTTTTCTGTGAACTGCCCGAAGACACATGTACGGTAAATCGGTGAGGAACAGATACTACATATTGATCCCAGCATGTATCGTCTTGTAAATATATGGATGTTTTCCACTATACAGATGCAGCTTTGAATTGGTCTTTAATAATTTGAAATTGACTTTTAAATAGAAAGAAATATCAGAACAAATGAAAATTACGAAAGGCCACATTTCATCCTTGACCTACACATCTTCTTGGGTAACTCTAATCAAATCCATTCATTCATTCTTCATAAACAGAAGATTACATAGAAATGAAAACGTCGTATGCTATATAAAACGCTCTATTGCACACCCGTTCGACTGTCGACAATTATGAATGTTCTTCTCCTTCTCCTCCTCAAAATGGCGTATGTCTCTTCAATTTGGTCAGTAATTAGTCACATCGGCTACTTTTGATTCTGAATGAAATTGGATATTATTGGTTAGAATGATCACCGTTCTTGAGCATCTCGAAGATGAGAAAGGGTTCATTAATCTGAGATCAGTTCGATCGGATAGAAATCTATAAGGAAATGTTTGGAATGGGGGGGGATTAATTTGGAAAATTCAAACCGGGATCATTTTCTTTAAAGTATTAGAAACGGTAACCTTGTGACTTCGTGTGTGTTCAACCTTTAGAATAGGTGATTATATTTCAAATGTTCCGTTGTTGATGCTGTGTTAGTGATACTCAATACAATTCATTTCCAATAACGGAAAACTAATTCGCTACTCCCCTTAAACAGTTTTCTTCACAATGCTTTTCATCCCATTATAGTAAAGCACTGGATTTTAAAACTGTTTTATTTCTTCGCGGTGGAAGTATTCTGTAGACATTTGGCTTAAATTTATTTTTAGTATAGCATGAGCGCTGATTCTTTCAATCCTCTTACTTTCCAATATTGTTTTTATTCTAACTTATTTCCATGGCGATTAGTGTGATCCTCATCCCTTCACACATGATCAGCCATGCCTGATTTTTATAGTTTATAGATGGATAAAAGCTATATCATATTTTTCAAATTTTTAGAGAGTAGTTGGTTTTACATATTTGTCCTTTGTCATTGCTGCATAGAATTTTGTATATACATTTCTTGAGTAGTTTTTATTTTCATTTAATTTTTAACTTTGAGATAAGTACAAATAATGGTGACTTATTTTAGGTACTGTTTTGATACTTCAATCGCAGATTCCTTGTATATTTTACATGCTTTTGATGTAAGGAAGCGAGATGTAGGTTTGTGACTGTTGACCTCTAAACTCTTAGGCCTGTTGGTAGGTTGTCATATTAGATATAACTGACTTATTCACGTTTGGATAAGTTATATAAATGTATAGCTTGCAAACAACAAAGAAATGTAAAATTAAATTTATTTTAATCATTCTTGGTTTTCTACAGCACTTTATAAATTTCTGTTTCTTTAAAATAATTTTAAAGCAATATGGTCATGAAAACTGAGACATTTTGCAAGAATGATTATAGTTATATACCCATTGCGATATATATATATATATATATATATATATATATATATATATATATTCAGTTGTATGGATATGAGTTTGTGACCCTGGGTTTCATGCTTTTGCGATGTTAGCTCTATCACTGATATTGAGCACTCTCCAATAGGTACCAACTATTGCGCATATATATATATATATATATATATATATATATATATATATATATATATATATAAAGAAAATTAGTCTTAAGATGTGCTATATTTATGGGATAAAGTGCTGAACAGCAGAGATAGAGCGCGTGTAAATATAAAAGTGAACATAGAAGTCAACACTTAGAGGCGACAGTCTCCTTTCATGCTAGATATATACATATATATAGATATATATATATATATATATATATATATATATATATATATATATATATAACATGAGATAACGATATATAAATCTTCATATATCAAGAACAATATTATTGGGCGAAAAAAGAATGACAAAGTGGAAAAGATATTCGTGGGACGCATTTCTAATGTTGTTCTAAAAGATGAAGTCACTGTGTCCTTTTTCCACTTATGACTTTTTTTCCCCAAATATATATATAATATATATATATATATATATATATATATATATAATAGCTGGACACTCGTATTCGAAGATACCTATCTATTAGGGCGGCTATCCAATCCCTATTGCAGACGCTTACTCAGGCGCATTTTGTATTTAATTTAACACCCACAGAGCCCACCTGTGGTTATACTGCAACTTACAGTTTCTGTGAGAGAGCGTGTTACCAACAATCTGAACAAGGCCAGCACACTATAACCCTCGGTCACAGCTATCGACTGGTTCCGTTTACCCAATTTCACTCACAAGGTTTGGGGCAACTGTGGTATGGTTTTCAGGTACTTTCCACTTTCACGCCGGGATCGTACCTTCCAGAGCAATAACATCAGGAAGCCTCATGCCAGAAAGCGAACGTTCTAACCAATCATAATGCACCCATATATATATATATATATATATATATATATATATATATATATATATATATATATATATATATATATATATATATATATAAATATATATGTTATATATAAATTGATTGATTTAAAATATGGTTTTTCCGCTACACAGTTCTAACCATGTTTCAAAATGGAAGGTCCGAATTTAATTTTGTAATTAGATTAAAGACATTAGTTCTATTTCATCCTCAAGTGAATTTTGGAGTAACTTTTAAAATTACTGGGTTTTAAAGACAGCAAAAATCATAATTCACGTTTCCAAGGATACAGAGAAATTCATTTCAACCAGACGAGGGTATATATATATATATATAAATGTAAAGACAATAGGAAAACTGTAATGGCAGCCCCTATTTCCTATTGTGTTTTACATTTTTAAATATTGTCTTTTTCTACAAGCTCTGAGAAATTTTTCATATATATATACATATATATATATATGTGTGTGTGTGTGTGTGTGTGTGTGCGTCTGTGTGTGTGTGTGTGTGTGTGTATAATGTGTGTGTGTTTTATTGATGTTATTGCTTTCTTCAGTCTCTTTTCACATGTTTTTCTTTTCTTTTTCCTTTTTTTAATCTGTTTTTATTTCTTCCTCTATCCTCTGTATGTATTGATCTCCGCTTTCTTACACTTTCTTTCTCGTCTTTCTTTACGTTCCTCTTTATTAGACTTCTCTTTTTATTTCTTCTCCCTCGTCTTTCTCTAATTTCCCCCTCCTTTATCTTCTATTTGCCTTTTATCTTCCCCATCTCTTTCTCTACTTTCTTCCTTATTGTTCTTTTTCTTCGCCTTTCTTTTTCCTCTGCTTTTTATTGATGGCTCAGTAGTTCTCTATATCACTCTCTTCGTCTGTTTTTCTCCCTCATGCCTTCATTTTTTCCCCTCGCTCATTTCTCTTGTTCTTACTCTCTTAAATTATCTACACTTTTAACCTTGATCTTTTCCTTCTTTTTTATTTTAAAACTTCTCCACATCTTTCTCCTTTTTCTTTTGTATTCATCTTTTTGTCTTCTTCATCTTTTCTCATTCTACGACTCTTCAATTTTACTCTTCAATTTTTCCGTTTTATTTTTGTTCTTTTAAATATATCTCTTTTCTTTTCTTTTTATGTGCCACGTCTTTTCAAGACGTAGGCGATCATGGCTCTCCACTTCCCCCTATCTCTTGTGGCTCTCAATGAGTTTCGTGCTTCTGCTTCCTACCCCAGACCACGTTCTACCATCCACTTGCTTAAAGCCCTTCAGGTATGTCATGCGTTGCTTTCCCTTGTGTATCTTTCTCTCTGTTCGAGCTGTGAGTATCAGATTCTCCAGGCCCTCTTTTCTCATTACGTGTCCCAGAAGTTACAGCTGACTCTTCTTTAGGCTAAGTATAAGCTTCCTCCTGGTTTACATCCTTTCCAAGATTTCATCGTTGCTCACACTCTCGCTCCATGATATCCTCAGCATCCTTCTGTAGAACCATATCTTCGCTGCCTCAAGTCTCTTCTTCATTTTTGAGGAGACCGTCCAACATTCGCAGATGGACAGATGTCACGTAGCAGCTCAGTATTCTTTTCTTTCTTATCAAAAAAGTCGTCTTGTCTCGCAAAACTTAGCCCAGCCTTCAATTTTTTCCGCTTTTATTTTTCCACGTTTTATTTTTCGTTTTTTTTTTTCTTTTTCAGTCTCAGTCGGTTTTTCCTTCTACTACTCTTTCTCTTCTTTTTTTTAATCCTGCTTCTCTTACTTTTTCTTTCGACATTTTTGTTCAATACTTTTTTCTTTCATTTTTTTTTTTTGATTTCCGCTTTTTCCACTTCTTTATTTGACTCCTCTTTCTTTTTCTCATTTGCCTCTTCTTTTTATTTTTCTCATTTGACACCTCTTTCATTTTCTTACTTACCTCCTCTTTCTTTTTCTTATTTACCTCCGCTTTCTTTTTCTTATTTGCCTCCACTTTCTTTTTCTTATTTACCTCCACTTTCTTTTTCTTATTTACATCCTCTTTCTTTTTCTTATTTCCCTCCACTTTCTTTGTCTGATTTGCCTCCTCTTTCTTTTCCTCATTTACCTCCTCTTTCTTTTTTCTCATTTGACTCCTCTTTCTTTTTCTTATTTGCCTCCTCTTTCTTTTTCTCATTTGCCTCCACTTTCTTTTTCTTATTTGCCTCCACTTCCTTTTTCTTGTTTACCTCCACTTTCTTTTTCTTATTTACATCCACTTTCTTTTTCTTATTTACCTCCACTTTCTTTTTCTTATTTACATCCACATTCTTTTTTTTATTTGCCTACTGTTTCTTTTTCTCATTTGCCTCCACTTTCTTTTTCTTATTTGCCTCCACATCCTTTTTCTTATTTACCTCCACTTTCTTTTTCTTATTTGCCTCCACTTTCTTTTTCTTATTTACCTCCTCTATCTTTTTCTTATTTGCCTCCACTTTCTTTTTCTTATTTACCTCCTCTATCTTTTTCTTATTTACCTCCACTTTCTTTTTCTTATTTGCCTTATCTTTCTTTTTCTTATTTGCCTCAATTTCTTTATCTTATTTACCTCCTCTTTTTTTCTCATTTACCTCCTCCTTTTTTCTTATTTACCTCTTTCTTTTTCTTATTTACCTCCTTTTCTTTTTCTTATTTTGCCTCCACTTCCTTTTTTTCTTATTTACCTCCTTTTCTTATTTGCCTCCCTTTCTTTTTTTATCTTCTTTCTTTTTTCTTATTTACCTCCACTTTCTTTTTCACATTTGCCTCCACTTTCTTTTTCTTATTTTGCCTCCACTTTCTTTTCTTTTATTTCCACCTTTTTTCTTATTTACCTCCACTTTCTTTTCTTATTTACCTCCACTTTTTCTTTTTCCTTTTTTTTTTATTTACCTCCACTTTCTTTTCTTATTACCTCCTTTTCTTTTTCTTTTCTCCTCTTTCTTTTTTTCCTTTCTTTTACCTCCTCTTTCTTTTTTTTTTACCTCCTCTTTCTTTTTCTTGTTTGCCTCCTTTTCTTTTTTCTTATTTACCTCCTCTTTCTTTTTTTTATTTACCTCCTCTTTTCTTTTTCCTCCATTTCTTTTTCTTATTTGCCTCCACTTTTTTTTTTTTGCCTCCTTTTCTTTTTCTTATTTACCTCCTCTTTCTTTTCTTTTTTACCTCCACTTTCTTTTCTTATTTACCTCCTTTCTTTTTTCTTATTTACCTCCTTTTCTTTTTTACTTATTTACCTCCTTTTTTTTTTTCTTATTTGCCTCCTCTTTCTTTTTTCTTATTTACCTCCTCTTTCTTTTTCTTATTTGCCTCCACTTTCTTTTTCTTATTTACCTCCTCTTTCTTTTTCTTATTTACCTCCACTTTCTTTTTCTTATTTACCTCCACTTTCTTTTTCTTATTTACCTCCACTTTCTTTTTCTTATTTACCTCCACTTTCTTTTTCTTATTTGCCTCCTACTTTCTTTTTTTATTTACCTCCTCTTTCTTTTTCTTATTTACCTCCTCTTTCTTTTTCTTATTTACATCCTCTTTCTTTTTCTTATTTACCTCCTCTTTCTTTTTCTTATTTACCTCCTCTTTCTTTTTCTTATTTACCTCCTCTTTCTTTTTCTTATTTACCTCCTCTTTCTTTTTCTTATTTGCCTCCTCTTTCTTTTTCTTATTTGCCTCCTCTTTCTTTTTCTTATTTGCCTCCTCTTTCTTTTTCTTATTTACCTCCTCTTTCTTTTTCTTATTTACCTCCTCTTTCTTTTTCTTATTTGCCTCCTCTTTCTTTTTCTTTCTTTTCCTCCTCTTTCTTTTCTTATTTGCCTCCTCTTTCTTTTTCTTTTTGCCTCTTTTTTTTTCTTTTACCTCCTCTTTCTTTTTCTTATTTGCCTCTCTTTTCTTTTTCTTTTTACCTCCACTTTCTTTTTCTTATTTACCTCTTTTCTTTTCTTTTATTTTCTTCTTTTTCTTATTTTTCTTTCTTTCTTATTTACCTCCTCTTTCTTTTTTTCTTTTTACTTTCTTTTCTTATTTGCCTCCTCTTTCTTTTTTTTTTCTATTTAAGCCTCTTTCTTTTCTTTTTACCTCTCTCTTTCTTTTTTCTTTTCTTATTTGCCTCCTCTTTTTCTCCTCCCTTTCTTTTCTTTTTACCTCTTTTTCTTTTTCTTTCTTTCCTCCTCTTTCTTTTTTTTTACCTCCCCTCTTTCTTTTTCTTTCTTTCTAAGCCTCTTTCTTTTTTCTTTCTCCCTCTTTTTTTCTTATTTACCTCTTTCTTTTTTTTATTTACCTCCTCTTTCTTTTTCTTATTTAAAGCCTCTTTCTTTTTCTTATTTGCCTCCTTTTCTTTTTTTTTTTCCTCCTCTTTTTTTTTCTTATTTAAGCCTCTTTCTTTTTCCTTTTCTATTTACTCCTCTTTCTTTTCTTTCTTTCTCCCTCTTTCTTTTTTTCCATTACTCTCCTCTTTCTTTTTTCTTTTTATCCCATCTTTCTTTTCCTCCTCTTTCTTTTCATCCTCTCTTTTTCTTATTTACTCCTTTTCTTTTTCTTATTTCCTCCACTTTTTTTTCTTTTTACTCCTCTTTCTTTTTTTTTTGCCTCTCTTTCTTTTCTTTTTTCTTCCAAACTCTCTCTTTCTTTTCTTATTTACCTCCTCTTTCTTTTTTCTTTTTCTTTCTTTTCTCCTCTTTCTTTTTTCTTTTCTCCTCTTTTTTCTTTTCTTTTTCTTCCTCTTTCTTTTTCCTCTTTCCTCCTTTTCTTTTTTCTTATTTGCCTCCTCTTTCTTTTCTTTCTCTGCCTCCATCTCTTTTCTTATTTCTTTTCTTTCTCTTATTTCTCCTCTTTCTTTTTTTTCCATCTCTTTCTTTTTCTTATTTTCCTTTTCTTTGACTTTTTTGCTTATTTGCCTCCTCTTTCTTTTTTTTTCTTTTCTTATCCTTTCTTTCTTTTCTTTTCTTTCCTCCTCTTTCTTTTTTCTTTTTGATCTCTTTCTTTTTTTTTTTTACCTCCTTTTCTTTTTCTTATTTTCTCCTCTTTCTTTTTCTTTTTTTCTCCTCTTTCTTTTTTTTATTTGCCTCCACTTTCTTTTCTTTTTGCCACCTCTTTTTCTCTTCTCCTCTTTCTTTTCTTATTTACCTCCTCTTTTCTTTTTTATTTCCTCTTTCTTTTCTTTTTCCTCCTTCTTTCTTTCTTTTTACCTCCTCTTTCTTTTCTTTTTCCTCCCTCTCTTTTCTTATTTACCTTCTCTTTCTTTTTTTTATTTCTTTCCACCATTCTTTTTCTTCTTTTCTCCTCTTTCTTTTCCTTTCTTTTCTCTCCTCTTTCTTTTCTTTTTTTCTCTTTTTATCTTTCTTTTCTTTCTCTTTGCCTTTCTTTTTTTTTTTCTTTTCTTTTTCATTTCTCTCTTTCTTTTTCTTTTTCCTCCTCTTTCTTTTTCTTATTTTGCTCCTCTTTCTTTTCTTATTTCTTCCACTTTCTTTTTCTTCTTTTTTCTTTTCTTTTTCTTTTCTTTTCTTATTTTCTCCTCTTTCTTTTTCTTATTTCCTCCTTTTTATTTTCTTATTTTCCTCTTTTTTTTCTATTTGCCTCCTTTTCTTTTCTTATTTACCTCCTCTTTTTTATTTTCCTTTTCTTTTTCTTTTTACCTCCTCTTTCTTTTTCTTATTTTCTCCCTCTTTCTTTTCTTTCTTGCCTCTTTCTTTTCTTTTTCTTATTTGCCTCCTCTTTCTTTTTCTTTTTGCCTCCTTTTTCTTTTTCTTATTTACCTCCTCTTTCTTTTTCTTTCTTGTCTCCCTCTTTCTTTTCTTATTTGTTTTCTTTCTTTTCTCTTTTTCCTTTTACTTTTTTTCTTATTTCCTCTCTTTTTTTTCTTATTTCTCCTCTTTCTTTTCCTCTTTCTTTCCCTTTTTTTTTCTTATTTTCTCCTCTTTCTTTTCTTTTTCTTCCTTTATTTCTCCTTTTCTTTTCTTTCTCTCCCTTCTTTTCTTTTCCTTCTTTTCTCCTCTTTTTCTTTTCTTATCTTGTCTCTCCCTTTTTCTTACTTTCCTCTTCTTTTTCCCCTTTCCCTTTTTCTTATTTACCTCCTCTTTCTTTTTTTATTTGCCTTTCTTTCTTTTCTTATTTTTCCTCTTTCTTTTCTTTTTTCTCTCCTTCTTTCTTTTCCTTTATTTACCTCCCTCTTTTTTTTCTTATTTACCTCCTCTTTCTTTTTTGCTTTATTAGATCCTCTTTCTTTTTCTTCCAACCCCTCTTTCCTTCTTAAACCATTTCCTTTTTTCTGTTCCCCCTTTTCTTTTTCTTTTTAAAATCCTCTTTTTTTCTATTTGCCTCTCTTTCTTTTGAATAAAATGTTTCTTTCTTTTTTCCTTTTTCATTTTAGCTTTTTTTTTCTTATTTTTCTTTTTTTTTTACAGTTTTTCTCATTTACCCCATTTTCATATTTCTCATTTTCCATTTTTAGATCTTTTTTCTTAGATTTTTCCTCTTTACTTTTCTTTTTTTTCCTCTTTCTTTCTCTCTTTTCTTTCACTTGTTTTCATCTCTCCAATTTTTCCTCTCCAAAAGTTTCTCATTTTTCCTTCTTCTTCTTTTTCTCTCTTTCATTTTTCTTTTTCATCTATCCTTTTTTCCTTTGCTTTCTCCTCTTTAATGTCTTCTGATATTTCAATTCACCCTTTTATTGCTCCTTATAGCCATTTCTCTCTTCGCTTCTTTTCTCTTCCAGAAAACTGAATTTCTTGCCTGTTTCCGACAGGTTATCTACAGTTAGATAAGCAATCATCTTGAAGATTTTGTTTGTGACCGACAATCATAATTCAATAAAAAAAGGAGAAAAATAAATGTGCAGGACACAGAAACAAACCAGTGGCATGATTGGCTGAATTAGCATCACTGAAATCACGTGACTAATGACTTTCATCCGGACCATCGCCACCCTCTGTAATACACTCATATAAAATTATAACTGAAATGTTTCGCCAAAGGAAGGGAAAAAAAATTTAAAAAAAAGAAAAAGAAATGTAGAAAGAAAGAAGGAAACGAGAAAAAAAAATAAAAACGAGATGAAACGGAAGAAAGGATGAAGAAAAAGAAAAGAAAATGGAAAAAGAAAATGAAGAAAGAAAAAAAAGACAAAAAGACGGCAACAATGCCAACATTCAATATTAATATCAAGAAGCAGAAGACAACAATCAGTGAACTTCAATGCGCATGCACCGATTTTTGCCTGGGGTAATTCCAAATCAGTTTCATCGATATTTCATCGGACGCTAAATCGAACGCGTCAACTGTTGCTTACAATTGCAAAGATCGTCCTTTCTTCAACAATGATTGCAATCTTTCCATTTTCTCTGCCCTAACGCGTACACACACACACACACCCTTCCCGTTTCTCTCTTTCTCTCTGCCTGTATCGCGTTCCATTTCTGTCTCCTTTCTCTCTATTTCCCATTCTTATTGTTCGTCTTTCATTTTATTCTCGCACGACAATTACTCTTTTTAAATATATTTTATCTGTTGGCTTTCTTTGGAAATACGATAATTATCCAAACGGGAATATACAGTGTAATTGAAAAGTAACTCCCTATTTTATATATTAATGGCCAGCCAAGAGTCCTTGACTTTACACCTGGTGACTTTGTTCTTTGAGGTTGGTTAAAAACCGTCTCCTATACTAAATCCGACATTGGAGAACTGTAAAGGCAAAAACAAGAAGCATGTCTTCCATACCATAAGAGTTCCTGGCGAAATCAGTTGAAGCGATTCCTCGGCGGCTCGGGAAGCTGGTAGCGAAATCTGGTGCCCATATCGAATTTTGAATAAAACCTCATACTAAAGGCTTTCCTCTCATATCCATTTCTTGTGAAAATATAGTTAATAAATAAATTATAAGTATTTTAAAATGGGGAGTTACTTTTACCTGTACAACACGCTATAATCCATAAAAATCCCACAGGTATTGATAACTAAGATTATTTATTATAATATGCTTCTACTTTTCACTTATTCTTTCACTGTATCTTCTTTTCACTTCCTTATGCCTTTTGATCTTCATTCTTCGTTCTAATTTTAATCTAAGTCATACAATCATGGACTAGTTTCATATGCTAAAAATAAATATGTTTTCTATTGAACTCCCTTATGTTTATTTTGCTTTATCTCTCCATAAAAAATTTTGATGTATCGTCATCTGTATGCCTTGCTCTCCCAGTATGACTTTCAATCGTTTGTTCACAATCTCTTGATATCCAAACAGCAAATTTGTCTTTTTTTCGTCTTCATCCCACACTCTTCTTTCTCAATGTGCATATATTTATTCTTTCTTTTCGTCTGGCTTTCTTTTTGCATTCTCCGTCTTTCTTACCTCGTATTTTTGTCACTTTCCTTCTTCCTTCTCTTTTTTCAATTCTTTCCTACTTGATACAGTTTTCTCTGTTAAAAATGCGACTGATTCCCAGAAGGTCAGGAATAGATAAAATCTCTTTTAGATTCAATAAATAAACGTAAGCCCAAACAAACAAACAAACATAATAATATACATATATATATATATATATATATATATATATATATATATATATATAAAATAAAAAAGAAAGTAAGATATATAATCCGGTGTTCTTATTGAAATTTTTGTTTATTTTTACAAAACAGTAAAATAGTGTAAATTTACAGACATAAATATTATAAATTAAAATGATTTAAAATGTTTTTTTCACACAGTAATAACCATGTTTCAAAAACTGAAATAAAACTTCAAATTTAATTATATAATTAAATTAAAATCATTAGTTTTGTTTCATCTTCAAGCGAATTTTGGAATAACTTATTTTTAAATTTACTGAGTTTTAAACGACCAATAAATTCATAATTTCTTGTCCCCTGTCTGAATGATTTGATTTCTCTATATCCTTGGAAACAGGAAATTATGAATTTATCTGTGCGTTTAAAACTCAGTAAATTTTAGTTTTATTCAACCTTTTTACCTAATCAATACGTTACTTTTGCACATCGTTGTACATCTTGTTAAATACATATTTTTGTAAATGATGTCTTTTGGCTTATCTTTTTTCACGTGTCATTTTTCACAACCTAAAGTTAAATTAATGTGTGAAGTCACCACAAACCATTTTAACAAAATTATTCAAAGCAGGATTATTTCTTTCCGTAACAACAGGATTAATACAAATAGACTTTTTATGCTTGCTCAAAATATAAATAATGCATTTCAAATTTAAAAATATTAAGCTATTTACTTATAAAATATTTTTTCTTGTTTTTTTTGCTGAAATGGTTTTTTAGCCACCTAGAATGAGTTATTATTTGCTATAACTTGACATTATGTAACCTTTTTTATTCATTTTCCTCTTGCCTTTTGGCTTGGATCAGGCATGATTCGTCTTCACTAGAGACACAGATTAAGTGAACCTGGACAGTTCATCTAATGGTAACCTACTTCCTTAGTACTCATTAAAAAAGCATGATTCAGGTTCCACCCCTAACATCCTAATTATATTTTCATTTGCTGGTCATTTAGGAAAGCAGTTTCTCTCTTTGCACACATGTTCTCAAGTCGAATCTGCTTTCCATTTTAAACTGCTTTTAATAAATCAAAATTTGCAGATTATTGACGACTAAATGCTATCTCATCCTTTTTCAACTTCCCAGGCGGCTTCGCATCAGTGAAGTTTTTATATGGATATTCTTCACCAGCATAACTTTTCTTGCACTAAAAGACTTTTCTAAAACATTATCATTTAAAGGGTCTGAATTTTCTGGAAGTTTGGAAAACAACGCCATCTTTATAAGGTGTTTGAATAAAAAATTTGAAAATCGTAGTAATAAATAAAACTGCTCATGGTAATCCCCCATATTTTTTTTTTTTATTTATACTTCGTTTAATGTTTAAATTACCCATTCCTCTCATTCATTTTCCGATAACCGTTCCTCTTTTGGATTTTTCTCTTTTTCCAAATATCTTTTCCTTTTTTGCTATATTATTTTCTACTTCTTTCTTTCCCGTCACCCAATATTTTTCCCTTTCATTCTTTTTTCTCTAATTAATCTTTTCATTCCATTATTTTCGTATCCGTTTTCCTATCTGTTCCATTCCCTCCACTCTGTTTTCATTCTTGGTCATTCTTTTCTCCTCCCCTTTCTATTTTTACTTTCATCCTTTCTTCCTCTCCTTTCTAGTCTCGTTTAGTTCTTTCCTTCACTCCCTCCCATTTCTCACATTCTTTTCTCCTATTCTTGTTTCAGTCTTTTCTTTTCCCGCTTTCTATTCTCGCACATTCTTTTCTCCTATCCTTCCTATTCTCATTTCATTCCTTTTTTTTTTCTTCCTTTCTATTCTCACTCATTCTTTCGTCCTCTCCTTCCTCATCTCATTTCATTCTTTACTTATCTTCCTTTCAATTTTCGCTCATTCTTTCCTTCTCCCCTTTTTATTGTTTCATTTTTTCTTTTCCTGCTTTCTATTCTCGATCATTTCTCCCCTCCCTTGATTTCCTGCCATCCTTTTCTTTTCCTTTTTTTCTTTCATTTTATCCTCCACCTTCATTCTTCTTTCATTCTTTTTTTTTTTCCTTTTTTTTCTTTTCATTTTCCTCCTCCATTTCTGTCTCATTCTTTTATTTTCTTTCCTATTCTTGTTTTATTCTTTTTTTATTTTCCACTTTCTATTCTCGCTCATTCATTTCTCCTCCCCTTCCTATTTCTGTCTCATTCTTTTATTTTCCTGCTTCCTATTCTCGACAATGCTTTCTTCTTCTTCTTCATATTCTCATTTCATTCTTTTTTTCTTCCTTTCTATTCTCGCTCATTCATTTCTCCTCCCCTTCCTATTTCTGTCTCATTCTTTTATTTTCCTGCTTCCTATTCTCGACAATGCTTTCTTCTTCTTCTTTCTATTCTCATTTCATTCTTTTTTTCTTCCTTTCTATTCTCGCTCATTCATTTCTCCTCCCTTCCTCATTTCTGTCTCATTCTTTTATTTTTCTCTGTCTTCCTATTCTCTCGACAATGCTTTCTTCTTCTTCTTCATATTCTCATTTCATTCTTTTTTTCTTCCTTTCTATTCTCGCTCATTCATTTCTCCTCCCCTTCCTATTTCTGTCTCATTCTTTTATTTTCCTGCTTCCTATTCTCGACAATGCTTTCTTCTTCTTCTTCATATTCTCATTTCATTCATTTTTTCTTCCTTTCTTTTTTTTCCTCCCATTCATTTCTGTCTCCCTTTTATTTTCTCGCTCATTCATTTCTTCCTATTCTCATTTCTTCCTTTTTCTTCTTCTTCTCATTCTTTTTCCCCTTCTATTTCTCCTGCTTTTTTTCCTATTTCTCGACAATGCTTTTCTCTTCTCTTTCTCATTTCATTCTTTTTTTTTTTTCTTTCATATTCTCGCTTTTCTTTTTCCTTTTCTTTTCTGTCTCATCCTTTTTTTTCTTCCTTTCTCGATTCTCTTCTCATTCATTTCATTCTTTTTCTTCCTTTCTTTCTGTCTTCATTTTTCTTTTATTTTCTCATCCTTTTTTTTTCTACTTCCTATTCTCGACAATGCTTTTCTCTTCTTCATATTCTCATTTCATTCTTTTTTCTTCCTTTTCTATTCTCATCATTCATTTTTTTCTCCCCTTCCTATTTCTGTCTCATTCCTTTTTTTTCCTTCTTCCTATTCTCGACAATCATTTTTCTTTCTTCTTTATATTCTCATTTCATTTCTTTTTTCTTCCTTTCTATTCTCGCTTTTCATTTTTCCCCCTTCCTTTTTCTTGTCTCATCCTTTTATTTTCCCTGCTTCCTATTCTCGACAATGCTTTTCCTCTTCTTCATATTCTCATTTCATTCTTTTTTCTTCCTTTCTATTCTCGCTCATTCATTTTCCTCCCCTTCCTATTTCTGTCTCATCCTTTTTATTTTTCCTACTTCCTATTCTCGACAATGCTTTTCTCTTTCTTCATTTTCTCATTTCATTCTTTTTTTTCCTTTCCTATTCTCGCTCATTCATTTTCTCCTCCCTTCCTATTTCTGTCTCATCCTTTATTTTCCTACTTCCCTATTCTCTTACAATGCTTTTCTCTTCTTCATTTTCTCATTTCATTCTTTTTTTTTTTCTTCCTTTCTATTCTCGCTCCCTTCTAAACCATCATTTCCTCCTCCTATTCTCTTTTCTGTCTTCTCTTTCTTTTTTTTCCTATTCTCATCATTCATTTTCCTCCCTTCCTATTTCTTTCCTTTTTTCTTCTTCCTATTCTCATTTCTTTTCTCTTTTTTTTCAATTCCTTTTTTTATTCTCGCTCATTCATTTTTCCTCCCCTTCCTATTTCTGTCTCATCCTTTTATTTTCCTACTTCCTATTCTCGACAATGCTTTTCTCTTCTTCATATTCTCATTTCATTCTTTTTTTCTTCCTTTCTATTCTCGCTCATTCATTTTTCCTCCCCTTCCTATTTCTGTCTCATCCTTTTATTTTCCTACTTCCTATTCTCGACAATGCTTTTCTCTTCTTCATATTCTCATTTCATTCTTTTTTTTTCCTTTTGTATTCTCGCTCATTCATTTTCCTCCCCTTCCTATTTCTGTCTCCATCTTTTATTTTCCTAAAAGACTATTCTCGACAATGCTTTTCTCTTCTTCATATTCTTTTTCTTTCATTCTTTTTTTCTTCCTTTCTATTCTCTTCTGCTCATTCATTTTCCTCCCCCCTTCCTATTTCTGTCTCATCCTTTTTTTTCCTGCTTTCCTATTCTTCGACAATTCTTTTCTCTTCTTCCTTCATATTCTCATTTTCATTTTTTTTTCTTCCTTTTTTTCCCTATTCTCTTCTCATTCATTTTTTCCTCCCTTTCTCATTTCTGTCCTCATTCCTTTTATTTTCCCCTAAATCCTATTCTCGACAATGCTTTTCTCTTCTTCATATTCTCATTTCATTCTTTTTTTCTTCCTTTCTATTCTCGCTCATTCATTTTTCCTCCCCTTCCTATTTCTGTCTCATCCTTTTATTTTCCTACTTCCTATTCTCGACAATGCTTTTCTCTTCTTCATATTCTCATTTCATTCTTTTTTTTTCCTTTCTTCTTCTCGCTCATTTCATTTTTCCTCCTTCCTATTTCCTGTAAGATCCCTTTTATTTTCCTTCTTCCTATTCTCGACAATTCTTTTTCTTCTTTCTCATATTCTCATTTCGATATCGGCTCCTCTTCTTCTTCCATTCTTTTTTTTTCCTTTTATTCTCGACTCATTCATTTTTCCTCCCCTTCCTATTCTGTCTCATCCTTTTTTTTCCTCAATTCCTATTCTCGATAATGCTTTTCTCTTCTTCATATTCTCATTTCATTTTTTTTTCTTCCTTTCTATTCTCGCTCATTCATTTTCCTCCCCTTCCTATTTCTGTCTCATCCTTTTTTTTTCCTACTTCCTATTCTCGACAATACTTTCTCTTCTTCTTCATATTCTCATTTCATTCTTTTTTTTTCCTTTTCTATTCTTCTCATTCATTTTTCCTCCCTTCCTATTTCTGTCTCATCCTTTTATTTTCCTACTTCCTATTCTCGATAATGCTTTTCTCTTCTTCATATTCTCATTTCATTTTTTTTTTTTCTTCCTTTCTATTCTCGCTCATTCATTTTTCCCCCTTCTATTTCTGTCTCATCCTTTTATTTTCCTACTTCCTATTCTCGACAATGCTTTTCTCTTCTTCATATTCTCATTTCATTCTTTTTTTTCCTTTCTATTCTCGCTCATTCATTTTTCCCCCCTTCCTATTTCTGTCTCATCCTTTTTTATTTTTCCTAATTCCTATTCTCGACAATGCTTTTCCTCTTCTTCCTATTCTCATTTCATTCTTTTTTCTTCCTTTCTATTCTCGCTCATTCATTTTTCCTCCTTCTATTTCTGTCTCATCCTTTTATTTTCCTGATTCCCTATTCTCGACAATGCTTTTCTCTTTCTTCATATTCTCATTTCATTCTTTTTTTTTCCTTTTCTATTCTCATCATTCATTTCTCCCCCCCTTCCTCTTTCTGTCATTCATTTTTCTTTTTATTTTCCATAAAATTCTCTATTCTTTTCTTCTTCATATTCTCATTTCATTCTTTTTTCTTCCTTTCTATTCTCATCATTCATTTTTTTTTCTTCTCTTCCTTTTATTTTCCTACTTCCTATTCATTTTTTCTTTTCTCTTCTTCCTATTCTCATTTCATTCTTTTTTTTTCATTCTTTCTCGCTCATTCATTTTCCCCCCTTCCTATTTCTGTCTCATTCTTTTATTTTCCTATTTTTCGGTCACCAATGCTTTTCTCTTCTTCATATTCTCATTTTCATTCTTTTTCTTCCTTTCTATTCTCGCTCCATTCATTTTTCCTCCTTCCTCTTTCTGTCTCTTCCTTTTATTTTCTTTTTTTCCTTTTCTTTCTTTTGCTTTTCTCTTCTTCATATTCTCATTTCATTCTTTTTTTTCTTCCTTTCTATTCTCGCTTTTTTCCCATTCATTTTTCCTCCCCTTCCCTATTTCTGTCTCATCCTTTTTTTTCTTTTCCTATTCTCGACAATGCTTTTCTCTTCTTCATATTCTCATTTCATTCTTTTTTTCTTCCTTTCTATTCTCGCTCATTCATTTTTTCCTCCCTTCCTATTTCTGTCTCATCCTTTTTTTTCCTACCTCCCTATTCTCGACAATATTTTTCTTCTTCTTCATATTCTCATTTCATTCTTTTTTCTTCCTTTCTATTCTCGCTTATTCATTTTCCTCCCCTTCCTATTTCTGTCTCTTTTTTATTTTCTACTTCCTATTCTCGACAATGCTTTTCTCTTCTTTTTCATATTCTCATTTCATTCTTTTTTCTTCCTTTCTATTCTCGCTCATTCATTTTCCTCCCTTCCTATTTCTGTCTCATTCTTTATTTTTCCTGCTTCCTTTCTCGACAATGCTTTCCTTAAGCTTGCATCTGTTTTCTCATTTCATTCTTTTTTTTTTCCTTTCTATTCTCGCTCATTCATTTCTCCCCCCCCCTTCCTATTTCTGTCTCATTCTTTTATTTTCCTGCTTCCTATTCTCGACAATACTTTCCTCTTCTTCTTCATATCTCATTTCATTTCTTTTTTTTTCTTCCTTTCTATTCTCGCTCATTCATTTTCCTCCTTCCTATTTTCTGTCTCATTTCTTTTATTTTCCTGCTTCCTATTCTCGACAATGCTTTCTCTTTTCTTTTCTCATTTCATTTTTTTCTTCATTTCTCGCTCTTTTTCTTCCTTTCTCATTCTTTCTTTTTAAATTCATTTTTTTCTATCTTCATTTCTCATTTTTCTTTTTTCTTCCTTTTTCTGTCTCATTCTTTTTATTTCCTTTTTTCTTTCTTTTCTCGACAATTTTTCCTCTTCTTCATAACTCATTTTCATTCTTTTTTTCTTCCTTTTTTATTCTCCTCTCATTCATTTTTTTTCCCTTCCTATTTTCTTTCTCATCCTTTTTTTTCCTTCTTCTCTTTCTTTACAATGCTTTCCTCTTTTCTTCATATTCTCTTTTATTCTTTTTCTTCCTTTTTTCCGCTCATTCATTTTTCCTCCCCCTTCCCTATTTCTGTCTCATCATTTTTTTTCCTTCTTTCTTGAAACGACAATCCTTTTCTCTTTTTCTTGTTCTCATTTTAATTCTTTTTTTCTTCCTTTCTCTCAACTCATTCATTTTTCGTCCCCCTTCCTTCTTTCTGTCTCATCCTTTTATTTTTCTATTCTTTGTTTCTTCCCTACTTCGACTTTGTTTTGTTTTTTGTTTCTTTTTCATTTTTTTTTTTTCCCCTTCCTATTTCTGTCTCCATTCTTTTTTTTTCTTTCCTTTTCTATTTCTTCGCTCAACCATTTTTCATTTCCTTTTTTTCCTTTCTATTCTTTCTTTCTTCTTTTTCCTCCCTTTTTTTCTGTCATTCCTTTTATTTTCCTTTTTCCCATTCTCGACAATATTCTTTTGTCTTCTTTCATTTTCTCATTTCATTCTTTTTTTTCTTCCTTCATTTCTTTCTCATTCATTTTTCCTCCCCTTCCTTTTCTGTCTCATTCTTTATTTTCCTGCTTCTATTCTCGATAATGCTTTTTCTTTTTTTTCTTATTCTCATTTAATTCTTTTTCTTCCTTTTTTTCTCATATTCATTTTTTCTCCTCCCCTTCCTATTTCTGTCTCATTCTTTTATTTTTCCTTTTTCCTATTCTCATAATACTTTTGCTTCTTTTTCATATTCTCATTTCCTTTTTTTTTTTTTCCTTTCTATTTTCATTTTTTCTCCCCCTTCTATTTCTGTCTCATTCTTTTTATTTTCCTGCTTCCCTATTCTCGACAATTCTTTCTTCTTCTTTTTCCTATATTCTCATTTCATTCTTTTTTCTTCCTTTCTATTCTCGCTCATTTCATTTTCTCCCCCCTTCCTATTTCTGTGTCATTCTTTTATTTTCCTGCTTCCTATTCTCGACAATGCTTTTCTCTTCTTCATATTCTCATTTCATTTCTTTTTTCTTCCTTTTCTATTCTCGCTCATTCATTTTTCTCCTTCCCTTTTCTGTCTCCCCGTCCTTTTATTTTCCCTCTTCCCTATTCTCGACAATGCTTTTCTCTTCTTCTTCATATTCTCTCATTTCACATTCTTTTTTTCTTCCTTTTTCTTTTCCTCCTCACTCATCTCCATTTTTTATTTTTCCCTTCCCTATTTCTTCATCTCATCCTTTTATTTTCCTATTCTCGCTCATTCATTTTCCTATTCCTGGATAATGCTTTTCTCTTCTTCATATATTCTCATTTCATTCTTTTTTTCTTCCTTTCTATTCTCGCTCATTCATTTTTCCTCCTTCTATTTCTGTCTCATCCTTTTTTTTCCTGCTTCTATTCTCGACAATACTTTTCTCTTCTTCATATTCTCATTTCATTCTTTTTTCTTTGCTTTCTATTCTCACTATTCATTTTCCTCCTTCCTATTTCTGTCTCATCCTTTTATTTTCCTTCCTATTCTGGACAATGTTTTCTCTTCTTCATATTCTCATTTTGTTCTTTTTTTCTTCCTTTTCTATTCTGCTCATTCATTTTTTTCCTTCTTCCTTTCATCTCATCCTTTTATTTTCCTACTTCCTATTCTCGACAATGCTTTCTCTTCTTCTTATTCTCATTTTCATTCTTTTTTCTTCCTTTCTATTCTCGCTCATTCATTTTCCTCCCTTCTATTTCTGTCTCATCCTTTTATTGCCTTTTCTATTTCTGGCCTCATTCTTTTCATATTTTTTCATTCTTTTTTTCTTCCTATTCTCGCTCATTCATTTCTTTCCCTCTCATCCTTTTTCATATTCTCCAATTTCATTTCTTTTTTTCTCATTACTTCTTTTTTCTTTCTATTCTCGCTCATTCATTTCTCCTCCCTTCCTATTTCTGTCTCATCCTTTTTTTCCTGCTTCCCTATTCTCGACAATGCTTTCTCTTCTTCTTATTCTCATTTCATTCTTTTTTTCCTTTCTTCCTTTCTTTTCCTCCTCGCTCATTCATTTTTTCCTACTTCCTACCCCCTCTTCCCATATTCTCATTTCATTCTTTTTTTTCCTTTTTCACTTGTTTCCCCCTTCTTCTCTGTCTCATCCTTTTCCTACTTCTTCTTCATATTCTCTTCTTCATTTCATTTTCTTTTTTTCTTCCTTTCTATTCTCGCTCATTCATTTTCCTCCCCTTCCTATTTCTGTCTCATTTCTTTATTTTCCTGCTTCTATTCTCGACAAATGCTTTCCACTTCTTTTTTCATATTCTCATTTCATTCTTTTTTTTCTTCTTTTTATTCTCGCTCATTCATTTCTCCTCCCCTTCCTATTTCTATGTCATTCTTTTTATTTTTCCTGCTTCCTATTCCTGCTTTCCTCTTCTTCTTCAATGCTCATTTCATTCTTCTTATTCATATTCTCCTCCCCTTTCATTCATTTTCCTTTTCTTTTCCTCTTCTTCTTCCATTTCTCATTTCATTCTTTTTTTCTTCTTTTCTAATTCTCGCTCATTCATTTCTCCCCCTTCCTATTTCCTCTTCTTTTATTTTCTTCCTATTCTCGACAATGCTTTCTCTTCATATTCTCATTTCACAATTTTTCTTCCTCTTCTTCTCATTCATTTTCTCATTTCATTCTTTTTTTTCTCTCCTTTCTCATTTCTTCTTTTTTCTTCCTTTCTGTTCTGCTCATTTCTCCTCCTTCCTATTTCTGTCTCATTCTTTTTATTTTCCTGCTTCCTATTCTCGACAATGCTTTTCTCTTCTTCTTCATATTCTCATTTCATTCTTTTTCTTCCTTTCTATTCTCGCTCATTCATTTTTCCTCCTTCCTATTTCTGTCTCATCCTTTTTTTTTCCTATTCTTCTTTCCTATTCTCGACAATTCTTTTCTCTTTTTCTTCCTTTTCTATTCTCGCTCATTTCATTTTCTTTTTTTCTTCTCATCCTTTTCCTATTCTCTCGACAATGCTTTCATTTTCTCCCCATTCTTTTTTCCTTTCTTCTCGTCTTCATCTTTTCCCCTTTTTCCTTTACTTTCCCTATTCTCTCTCGACAATGCTTTTCTCTTCTTCTTCTATTCTCATTTCATTCTTTTTTCTTCCTTTCTATTCTCACTCATTCATTTTCCTCCCCTTCCTATTTCTGTCTCCATCCTTTTATTTTTTTCCTACTTCCTATTCTCGACAATGCTCTTCTTCTTCATATTCTCTTTCATTCTTTTTCTTCTTTTCTATTCTCGCTCATTCATTTTCCCCCCCTTTCTATTTCTGCCTCATTTTTTATTTTCCTGCTTCCTATTCTCGACAATACTTTCCACTTCTTTTCATATTCTCATTTCATTCTTTTTTTCTTCCTTTTATTCTCGCTTCATTTCTCCTCCCTTCTATTTCTTTCTCATTCTTTTATTTCCTATTCCTATTCTCATGCTTTTCTCTTCTTCTTCATATTCTCATTTCATTCTTTTTTTCTTCCTTTCTATTCTCGCTCATTCATTTCTCCTCCCCTTCCTATTTCTGTCTCATTCTTTTATTTTCCTGCTTCCTATTCTCGACAATGCTTTTCTCTTCTTCTTCATATTCTCATTTCATTCTTTTTTTCTTCCTTTCTATTCTCGCTCATTCATTTCTCCACCCCTTCCTATTTCTGTCTCATTCTTTTTATTTTCCTGCTTCTTTCTCGACAATATTTTCTCTTCAATTCTTTTCATTCTTTTTCTTCCCTTTCTATTCTCATTTCATTCTTTTTCCTTTATTCTGTCTCATCCTTTTATTTCCTACTCATTCTCGATTTTTCTCTTCCTTCTATTTCTTCTTCCTCATTCTTTCATTTTTTCCTATTTCTGTCTCATCCTTTTATTTCCCTTCCTATTCTCATTAATGCTTTTCTCTTCTTCATATTCTCATTTCATTCTTTTTTCTTCCTTTCTATTCTCGCTCATTCATTTTCCTCCCCTTCCTACTTTCTGTCTCATCCTTTTATTTTCCTGCTTCGACAATGCTTCTTCTTCAATTCTTTTCATCTTTTTTCTTCCTTTCTATTCTCTCATTTCCCCCTTCTTTTTTTCCTTTTATTTCTATTCTGGACAATGCTCATTCTCATTTCATCCTTCCTCCCTTTCTATTTCTGTCTCATCCTTTTATTTTCCTACTTCCTATTCTCGACAATGCTTTTCTCTTCTTCATATTCTCATTTCATTCTTTTTTCTTCCTTTCTATTCTCGCTCATTCATTTTTCCCCCTTCTTTTCTGTCTCATTCTTTTATTTTCCTGCTTCCCTTCTCGACAATTCTTCCTCTTCTTTTCTCATTTCATTTTTTTCTTTTTTCTATTCTCGCTTTCATTTCTCCTCCCCTTCCTATTTCTGTCTAATTCTTTTTTTCCTGCTTCCTATTCTCGACAATTTTCCTCTTCTTCTTCCTCATTTCATTCTTTTTTCTTCCTTTCTATTCTCCTCATTCATTTTTCTCCTTTCCTTTTCTGTCTCATTCTTTTATTTTTCACTGCTTCCTATTCTCGACAATGCTTTTCTCTTCTTCTTCATATTCTCATTTCATTCTTTTTTTCTTCCTTTCTATTCTCGCTCATTCATTTTTCCTCCCCTTCCTATTTCTGTCTCATTCTTTTATTTTCCTGCTTCCTATTCTCGACAATGCTTTTCTCTTCTTCTTCATATTCTCATTTCATTCTTTTTTTCTTCCTTTCTATTCTCGCTCATTCATTTCTCCTCCCCTTCCTATTTCTGTCTCATTCTTTTATTTTCCTGCTTCCTATTCTCGACAATGCTTTTTCTTCTTTCTCATTTCATTCTTTTTTTCTTCCTTTCTATTCTCGCTCATTCATTTTTCCTTCCTCTTTCTGTCTTCATTTCCTTATTCTCCTAATACTTTCCTCTTCTTCTTCATATTCTCTCATTTCATTTCTTTTTCTTCCTTTCTCTTCTCGCTCATTCTCCTCCTTCCTATTTCTCTCTCATTCTTTTTTTTGCTTTCTCTCGACAATGCTTTTCTCTTCTTCTTCATATTCTTTTCATTTTTTTTTCTTTCTATTCTCCTTTCTTTTTCCTCCCCTTCCTGTTTCTGTCTCATCCTTTTATTTTCCTTTCCTATTCTCGACAATTTTTCTCTTCTTCATATTCTCATTTCATTCTTTTTCTTCCTTTCTATTCTCGCTCATTCATTCATTTTCCTCCCCTTCCTATTTCCCTCCATCCTTTTATTTTTCCTGCTTCCTATTCTCTCATTTCTTTTTCTTCTTCTTCTTCATATTCTCATTTCATTCTTTTTTCTTCCTTTCTATTCTCGCTCATTTCTCTTCTTCTTCTCATTTCCTTTTTCTTCCTATTTCTGTCTTCATTTTCCTTTTTTTTTTTTCTTTTCCTGCTTCATATTCTCGACAATGCTTTTCTCTTCTTCTTCATATTCTCATTTCATTCTTTTTTTTCCTTTCTTTCTCATTCATTCATTTTTCCCCTTCTATTTCCTGTCTCATCCTTTTTTTTCCTGCTTCCTATTTCGACAATACTTTTTCTCTTCTTCTTTCTCATTTCATTCTTTTTTTTCTTCCTTTTCTATTCTCGCTCATTCATTTTTCCTCCTTCTATTTCTGTCTCATCCTTTTATTTTTCCTATTCCTATTCTCGATAATTTTCCTCTTCTTCTTTCTCATTTCATTCTTTTTTTCTTCCTTTCTATTCTCGCTCATTCATTTCTCCTCCCCTTCCTATTTCTGTCTCATTCTTTTATTTTCCTGCTTCCTATTCTCGACAATGCTTTCCTCTTCTTCTTCATATTCTCATTTCATTCTTTTTTTCTTCCTTTCTATTCTCGCTCATTCATTTCTCCCCCCCTTCCTATTTCTGTCTCATTCTTTTATTTTCCTGCTTCCTTTCCCATATTCTCTTCTTCACAATTCTTTTCTTTTCTTCTTCATTCATATTCTCATTTCATTCTTTTTTTCTTCCTTTCTATTCTCGCTCATTCATTTCTCCCCCCCTTCCTATTTCTGTCTCATTCTTTTATTTTCCTGCTTCCTATTCTCGACAATGCTTTTCTCTTCTTCATATTCTCATTTCATTCTTTTTTTCTTCCTTTCTATTCTCGCTCATTCATTTTTCCTCCCCTTCCTATTTCTGTCTCATTCTTTTATTTTTCCTGCTTCCTATTCTCGACAATGCTTTCTCTTCTTCTTCCTATTCTCATTTCATTCTTTTTTTTTTCTTCCTTTCTATTCTCGCTCATTCATTTCTCCTCCTTCCCTATTTCTGTCTCATTCTTTTATTTTCCTCTTCCTATTCTCGACAATGCTTTCCTCTTCTTCTTCATATTCTCATTTCATTCTTTTTCTTCCTTTTCTATTCTCACTCATTCATTCTCCCCTTCCCTATTTCTGTCTCATTCTTTTATTTTTCTGCTTCCTATTCTCGACAATGCTTTTCTCTTCTTCTTCTTTTTTCTTCCTTTCTGTCTCGCTCATATTCTCATTTCTATTTCTGTCTTTCTTTTATTTTCCTTTCTATTCTCGACAATCCTTTCTTTTCCCCTCATTTCCCCTTCCTTCATTTCTGTCCCCTCCTATCCCTTTTATTTTCCTGCTTCCTATTCTCGACAATGCTTTCTTTCTTCTTCATATTCTCATTTCATTCTTTTTTTCTTCCTTTTTCTATTCTCGCTCATTCATTTTTCCTCCCCTTCCTATTTCTGTCTCATTCTTTTTTTTTTCTGCTTCCCTATTCTCGACAATGCTTTTCTCTTCTTCTTCATATTCTCATTTCATTCTTTTTTCCTTTCTATTCTCGCTCATTTCCGCCCTTTTTTCTCCTTCCTTTTATTTTCTGTCTCATCCTCTTCTTCTTCATTTTCTCATTTTTATTCTTTTTCTTCCTTTCTATTCTCTCTCACAATTCACTTTTCTCTTGTCTCTTCTTTTATTTTCTCATTTCATTCTTTTTTTCTTCCTTTCTATTCTTCTTTCATTCTCATTTTCCCTCCCCTTCCTATTTCTATCTCATTCTTTTATTTTCCTGTTTCCTATTCTCGACAATGCTTTCCTCTTCTTCTTCTATTCTCATTTCATTCTTTTTTCTTCCTTTCTATTCTCGCTCATTCATTTTCCCCCCCCTTCTATTTCTGTCTCATTCTTTTATTTTTCCCTGCTTCCTATTCTCAACAATGCTTTCCTCTTCTTCTTCATATTCTCATTTCATTCTTTTTTTTCTTCCTTTTATTCTCGCTCATTCATTTCTCCTCCCTCCTATTTCTGTCTCATTCTTTTATTTTTCCTGCTTCCTATTCTCGACAATGCTTTCTCTTCTTCTTCATATTCTCATTTCATTCTTTTTCTTCCTTTCTATTCTCGCTCATTCATTTTCCTCCCCTTCCTGTTTCTGTCTCATCCTTTTTTTTTCCTACTTCCTATTCTCGACAATGCTTTTCTCTCTTCTTCATGTTCTCATTTCATTCTTTTTCTTCCTTTCAATTCTCGCTCATTCATTTTTCCTCCCCTTCCTATTTCTGTCTCATCCTTTTTTTTTCCTCTTCCTATTCTCGATAATGCTTTTCTCTTCTTCATATTCTCATTTCATTCTTTTTCTTCCTTTCTATTCTCGCTCATTCATTTTTCCTCCTTTCCTATTTCTGTCTCATCCTTTTTTTTTTCTATTCTCGACAATGCTTTTCTCTTCTTACTCAATTCTTTTTCTCTTCTTCTTCCTCCCCTTTCTATATTCTCCTTTTATTTTCATTCTTTTTTTTCTTCTTCTTTCTCATTTCTTCTTTTTCTCATTCATTTTTTTTCCTCCTTTTATTTCTGTCTCATTTTTTTTTTTCCTTCCCTTTCTCGTATTCTCTTCTTCCAATTTCATTCTTTTTTCTTCCCTCTTTCTCATCATATTCTCCTTTCCTATTTCTTTCATTTTTATTTTCCTTCCTTTCTATTCTCTTCTTCTTCATATTCTCATTCATTTTTTTTCCCTTTTCTCATATTCATTTCTGTCTCATCCCTTTTATTTTCCTACTTCCCTATTCTCGACAATGCTTTTTTCTCTTCTTCATATTCTCATTTCATTCTTTTTTTCTTCCTTTCTATTCTCGCTCATTCATTTTTCCTCCTTCCTATTTCTGTCTCATCCTTTTTATTTTCCTACTTCCTATTCTCGACAATGCTTTTCTTCTTCATATTCTCATTTCATTCTTTTTTCTTCCTTTCTATTCTCGCTCATTCATTTTCCTCCTTCCTATTTCTGTCTCATCCTTTTATTTTTCCTACTTCCTATTCTCGACAATGCTTTTCTCTTCTTCTTCATATTCTCATTTCATTCTTTTTTCTTCCTTTTTAATTCTCGCTCATTCATTTTCCTCCCTTCCTATTTTGTCTCATCTTTTTTTTCCTACTTCCTATTCTCGACAATGCTCTTCTTCTTCATTTCTCATTTTATTTTTTTTTTCTTCCTTTCTATTCCTCTCTCATTCATTTTTCCTCCCCTTCCTATTTCTGTCTCATCCTTTTTATTTTCCTGCTTCCTATTCTCAATAATTTTTCTTCTTCTTCATATTCTCATTTCATTCTTTTTTCTTCCTTTCTATTCTCGCTCATTTGTTTTTTTCCCCTTCCTATTTCTGTCTCATCCTTTTTTTTCCTGCTTCCTATTCTCGACAATGCTTTCCTCTTCTTCATATTCTCATTTCATTCTTTTTTCTTCCTTTCTATTCTCGCTCATTCATTTTTCCTCCCCTTCCTATTTCTGTCTCATCCTTTTTTTTTTCCCTACTTCCTATTCTCGACAATGCTTTTCTCTTCTTCCTATTCTCATTTCATTCTTTTTTCTTCCTTTCTATTCTCGCTCATTCATTTCCTCCTTCCCTATTTCTGTCTCATCCTTTTATTTTCCTGCTTCCTATTCTCGGCAATTTTTTTCTCTTCTTCATATTCTCATTTCATTTTTTTTTCTTCCTTTCTATTCTCGCTCATTCATTTTTCCTCCCTTCCCTATTTCTGTCTCATCCTTTTTATTTTCCTACTTCCTATTCTCGACAATGCTTTTCTCTTCTTCATATTCTCATTTCATTCTTTTTTTCCTTTCTATTCTCGCTCATTCATTTCTTCCTCCCTTCCCTATTTCTGTCTCATTCCTTTATTTTTTCCTGCTTGCTTTTCTTCTCGACATTTTCATTCTTTTTTCTTCTTCTATTCTTTCATTTTCTCATTTTATTCTTTTTTCTTCCTTTCTCATTATTCTCTTCTCATTCATTTCTCCCCCTTTCTTCTCTACTTCTGTCTCATTCTTTTATTTTTCCTGCTTCCCTATTCTCGACAATGCTTTCCTCTTTTCATATTCTCATTTCATTTCTTTTTCTTCCTTTCTATTCTCGCTCATTCATTTTCCTCCCCTTTCATGTTTCTGTCTCATCCTTTTATTTTCCCTACTTCCTATTCTCGACAATACTTTTCTCTTCTTCTTCATTTCATTTCATTCTTTTTTCTTCCTTTTCTATTCTCCTTCATTCCATTTTCTCCCTTCTATTTCTGTCTCATTCTTTTATTTTTCTACTTCCTATTCTCGACAATCTTTTTTTCTCTTCTTCATATTCTCATTTCATTCTTTTTTCCCCTTTCTATTCTCGCTCATTCATTTTTCCTCCTTCTTTTCTGTCTCATTCTTTTTATTTTTCCTGCTTCATATTCTCGACAATGCTTTTCTCTTCTTCATATTCTCATTTCATTCTTTTTCTTCCTTTCTTCTCTCGCTCATTCATTTTCCTCCCCTTCCCTATTTCTGTCTCATTCTTTTATTTTTTACTTCATATTCTCGACAATACTTTTCTCTTCTTCTTCATATTCTCATTTCATTCTTTTTTTCTTCCCCTTCTATTCTCGCTCATTCATTTTCTCCTCCCCTTCCTATTTCTGTCTCATTCTTTTATTTTCCTGTTTCCCTGTCTCGACAATGCTTTTCCCTCTTCTTCTTCATATTCTCATTTCATTCTTTTTTTCTTCCTTTCTATTCTCGCTCATTCATTTCTCCCCCCTTCCTATTTCTGTCTCATTCTTTTATTTTCCTGCTTCCTATTCTCGACAATAATTTTCTCTTCTTCTTCTTTCTCATTTCATTCTTTTTCTTCATTCTCGCTTTCTTCCTTCTATTTCTGTCTCATTCTTTTATTTCTCTTCCTCTCGACAATGCTTTCCTTCTTCTTCTCTGTCTCATTCTTTTTTCTTCCTTTTTCTACTTTCTCCCCCTTCTCTGTCAATTCTTTTTCTCTTCTTGACAATGCTTTCTCTTCTTCATATTCTTTTCATTCTTTTTTCTTCCTTTCTATTCCTCATTCCCCTTTCCTCCCTTCCTATTTCTGTTTCCCTGTTTTATTTTCTGCTTCATATTCTCTCGACAATACTTTTCTCTTCTTCTTCATATTCTTCATTTCATTCTTTTTTTTTTCTTCCTTTCTATTCTCGCTCATTCATTTCTCCTCCTTCCTATTTCTGTCTCATCCTTTTATTTTCCTACTTCCTATTCCTCGACAATGCTTTCCTCTTCTTCTTAAAATTCTCATTTCATTCTTTTTTCTTCCTTTCTATTCTCGCTCATTCATTTTGGCCCCCCTTCCTATTTCTGTCTCATCCTTTTATTTTCCTGCTTCTATTCTCTTTCGATAAAATTTCGTCTTCTTCATATTCTCATTTCATTCTTTTTTCCTTCCATTTCTATTCTCGCTCATTCATTTTTTATTTTCCTCCCTTCCAATATTTCTGTCTCATTCTTTTTTTTTTCCTTTCTATTCCTATTCTCGATAATGCTTTTCTTTTTTTTCATATTCTCATTTCATTCTTTTTTTCTTTCTTTCTTGCTTTCTCGCTCATTCATTTTTTCTCCCCCTCCTATTTCTGTCTCATCCTTTTATTTTTCCTACTTCCTATTCTCGACAATGCTTTTCTCTTCTTCATTCTCATTTCATTCTTTTTTCTTCCTTTCTATTCTCGCTCATTCATTTTTTCCTCCCTTTCTATTTCTGTCTCATCCTTTTATTTTCCTACTTCCTATTCTCGACAATGCTTTTCTCTTCTTCATATTCTCATTTGTTCTTTTTTTTCTTCCTTTTTCTATTCTCGCTCATTCATTTTTCCTCCCCTTCCGGATTTCTGTCTCATTCTTTTATTTTCCTCCTTCCTATTCTCGACAATATTTTCTCTTCTTCATATTCTCATTTTTCTTTTTTTCTTCCTTTCTATTCTCGCTCATTCATTTTTCCTCCCCTTCCTATTTCTGTCTCATTCTTTTATTTTCCTGGTTCCTAAGATCCTTGACAATGCTTTCTTCTTCTTCATATTCTCATTTCATTCTTTTTTCTTCCTTTCTATTCTCGCTCATTCATTTTCCTCCCCTTCCTTTTTGTCTCATCCTTTTATTTTCTCCTTCTATTCTATTCCAATGTTTTCTTCTTCTTCATACATTTCTTTCCTTTTCTTCTTCATATTCACATTTCATTCATTTTTTTTCTTTCTGTCTCATTCTTTTATTTTCTCTTTCATTCATTTCTCCCTCTCATTCTTCATATTCTCATTTCATTCTTTTTCATTCTTTTATTTTCCTTTTCCTATTTCTGTCGATTCAATTCTTTCCTTCTTTCTTCATCTTCTTCTTTTTTTCATTCTTTTTTTTTCTTCCCTTTCTATTCTCGCTCATTCATTTCTCCTCCCTTTCTTCTTTCTGTCTCATTCTTTTATTTTCCTACTTCCCATTTTCTCGCAATGCTTTCCTTTTCTTCTTCATTTCATTCTTTTTTTTTTTTCTTCCTTTCTATTTCTCGCTCATTCATTCTCCTCTCATTCCTATTTCTGTCTCATTCTTTTTATTTTCCTGCTTCCTATTCTCGACAATGCTTTCTTCTTCTTCTTCATATTCTCATTTTCATTTTTTTTCTTCTTTCTATTCTCGCTCATTCATTTCTTTCCTTCATTTCTGTCTCATTCTTTTATTTTCCTTTCCTATTCTTGACAATGCTTTCCTCTTCTTCCCATATTCTCATTTCATTCTTTTTTTTCTTCCTTTCTATTCTCGCTCATTCATTTCTTTCCTCCCCGTCCTATTTCTGTCTCATTCTTTTATTTTTCTGCTTCATTCTCGACAATTTTTTCTTTCATTCTTTCATTCTTTTCTTCCTTTTCATTCTCGCTCATTCATTGTCCTTTTTTTCATTTCTTTTTTTCGCTCCTATTCATTTCTTTCCTCCCCTTTTCATTCTGTCTTCATTTCTTTTTATTTTTCTCCTCTTCCTATTCTTGACAATTTTTTTTCTTCTTCCTCCTTCATTTTTCTTCTTCTTTCTTTTCATTTCATTCTTTCAATTTCATTTTTTCCCCCCCTTCCCTCATTCTGTCTCATTCTTTTATTTTCCTGCTTCCTATTCTTGACAATGATTTCCCTCTTCTTTCTCATTCTTTCTCATTTTCTGTTCAATTTTCTTCCTTTCTTCTTCTGGCACCTTCATTCTTTTCTCCTCCTTCCTTTTTCTTTCTGTCTCATTCATTTTATTTTCCTTTTTGTCTATTCTTTTATTTTCCTGACAATGCTTTCAATCTTCTTTTTTCATATTCTCATTTCATTCTGTTTTTTTCTTCCTTTCTATTCTCGCTTTCATTCATTTCTCCTCCTTCCTATTTCTGTCTCATTCTTTTATTTTCCTGCTTCCTATTCTCGACAATGCTTTACTCTTCTCCTTCATATTCTCATTTCATTCTTTTCTTTTACCTCTTTCTATTCTCGCTCATTATTTCCTCCTCCTATTCATATTCTTGCTTCATTCTTTTCTTTACCTCTTTTCTATTCTCACAGATTCATTCTTCCAACCTCTCCTATTCTTGATCATTCTTTTCTTTTACCCTTTTCTATTCTCGCTTATTTTTACCACCTGCCCTTAATATTCCTGTTTCATTCTTTTCTTTTCCCCCTTTCCATTCTTGCTCATTCTTTCATTCTCCCCTTAATATTCTTTTTTCATTCTTTTGTTTTCTTCCATTCTATACTCGATCATTCATTCCTCCTCCCCTTCCTATTTTTCTTTCATTCTTTTTTTACCCCGTTCTATTCTCGCTCATTTTTCGTTCCTCCCCTTCATATTCTTCTTTCATTCTTTTCTTCCTTTCTATTCTCGCTCATTCTTTCCTCTATCCCCTTCCTATTCTTGCTTCATTCTTTTCTTTTCCTCTTTCTATTCTCACGGATTCATTCCTCCCACCTCTCTTATTCTTGTTACATTCTTTTCTTTTCCCTCTTTTTATTCACGCTCATTTTTTCTCCTCCTCTTCCTATTCTGGTTTTATTCTTTATTTGTCTTTCTT